TTTAAAAAAAGGCAAAATAGGTGCCTGGCTGATTTGGTCAGTAGAGCACGGGACTCTTGATCTAGGGGTTGTAAGTTTGAGACCCACACTGGGTGTAGAGATTACTTAAAAACAAAATCTTTAAAAATAAATAAAAACTAAAATTAAAAAAGGCAACACAAATCTATGGTGTTTGAGGTGAGGAGGGGGTTTCTGGGGTGTTGGTCATGTTCTATTTCTCGATGTGGGTGCTGGCTACATGACTGTGTTTACTTTGTGGAAATTCATCCAGCTATGCACTTGGGATTTGTGCATTTTGCTCTCTGTATGTTGAACTTTTATGAAAAGTCTTTAAAACCTGAAGCTATACTGGGGCACCTCGGTGCCTCAGTCATTTAAGCGTCCGTCCCACCCTTGATTTCAGCTCAGGTCATGGTCTCAGCATTGTGAGATTAAGCCCCATGTCAGGCTCCTCGCTCAGCAGGGGAGTCTGCTTCTCTCCTTCTCCCTCTGCCCTTCCCCCCCCTTGTTCGCACACATGAGCTCTTTCTCTCGCTCTCACTCTAAAATAAATCTTTAAAAAAAAAACACAATACTGAACCCATGCCTAACGCCTATGCTGCTTCTCCTGTACTACACCGCGCCCCCAGCTGATAACTATGAAGCAGATGATGACACAGAACAGGGCACACTAAAGTGCAACCTGCCAGTCAAGACTGGCTCAAGCCCTGCCCCAAGCCCTACCTGGTAACCTCCCCTTGGAGCACTCCACTGAAGCATGGAACTCCATACAAACTCCTCCTTTGCAGGTTTTCTTGAGCAAAGGAAAGGGATGACAAAGAATTTTGTAGTAACATCTTAAGGGCCCTATTTCCTGAGCCGCAAGTGTGTGCCAGTGTTCCTTCCAGCCCCTTCAACAACTCCGACAGGCCAAAGATTCTCCCCAGTTTATCATGAGAACTCCAAGGCTCAGAGGAGGGACGAGACATAGCCAGTAACAGCTAGGCAGGGATTCACATCCAGGTCTATCTGATCCAAAGTCAGAGAGCCTGAGAAAGCTAGCCCAATATCCTGGGGAATAATTAAGACACAGGCATAGTCACATGGCTCTGGATTCCAGAACCCTTCATTGCACTCATTTCCAGCCCAGTTCTGAGAACTCCAGGTCTCCTAAGTTCCTCCTCCACCCAGGTGAGTCCAGGGGGCACTATCCATTTTCCAGGGCTTTCGAGTGAACACAAGTCTACCTTGTGTATCAGCTAGTTTTCACAATAATGCTGAGTAACAAATCACCCCAATGTTCAGCAGCTAGAGACAACATTCATACCATGCGTCATTTGGAGGTTGACTAATCTAGGTTTACAAAAAGCTGACAAAAAACCGGGACAGGGACACCTCGGTGGCTCAGTCGGGAGGGAGTCTGCTTCTCCCTCTGCCTGTCGCTCCCCCTGCTTGAGCTCGCTCTCTCTCTGACAAACAAATAAAATCTTAAAAAAAAAAAAAAAAAAACTCAGGATATTGGATATTTAGACAACAGGACTAGCATATGACAAAAATGGGACACTGCCCCCAATGCCTACAGACTATACATTCTTTTCAGATGCATGAAGAATTATAAAATTGATCATATGCTTGACCATAAAGCAAGTTTTGACAAATTTCAAAGATATGAAACCACACAGACTATGTTCCCTAACCACAGGGAACACAATTAAGATAGACATCAACACCAAAAAAAAGTGATAAAGCTTCCCCCACCCCTCTGGTCCAAGCTGCCCAAGGCTTTTCTCACTGCCACATCCCTTCATGGCAGAATGAGACATTTACTGAGCACCTCCTGGATACCAGGCTGGGCTGCTCTCTGGGCAGGGTGCAGGGACTCTCCCAGAAAGGGGAGAGACATAGTCTCAATTATGCCTTTCTGAAGGGCATTTGTGACTCAGGCTTTACACCTGTCCTTGTCAGATGGTCCCATTTGATGCATACTTTAACCTAGATACCTACAGGGCAGCCCTAGTTAACATACAGGTAAAACACCTTCATCCTGACCAGCTGAGACCACCAGTCTACATCAGTGAAAAGTCTGATTCTTAATTCATATCAAAACTCAGCTTTAATTACTTTAAAACACACATGGCCAAAGGTGGAAACATAACACCCATCTTAGGGTTGAATTACTATCATTACTAAATCAGAGACTCGGTGATCTATGTGAACAGGATAGATTTGATTCATGCTAGGGCCAGACTCCCCAGGTAATTCTGGCCTATCGACGACCTGTCCTGGCACGCTGATTGCTCCACAGACCAACTTCCCATGTACCCTAGTCATTCGTACTTTGATATTACAAAGAGGGGATGATTTTTTTCTCTGAATAAAGAATCTTTTTCTTCACAATTGCTGTCCAACAATGGAGCTGGCTACTGAGTAATAAAGTCACCTCTACCGATCAGTGGAGGTGTTCAAGCAAAGCCCAGACATCTGCTTGATGAGGATGCTGAAGAGAAGGCCTGAGCAGAAAAATGCCTCAAGGACGTTTCCAAGGCCTACAAGAAACTGCTATGGCCACCTTTATCTGTTGCTGCAAACACACCAATGGCCACCAGGTGGTGACAGAGTCACACCATCACTGCAAAAGCTTTCGTGGCCCAGCGCACAGCTTTTCTTAGAAATACCAGAAACCTAATTGAAAAGAAATAAAAACAACTAAATTTAAAAATAGGATTACCATATGACCCATCAATCCCACTTCTGGGTATACAGCCGAAAGGATTGAAAGTAGGATCTTGAGATACGTGCTCACCCATGTTGATAGCAGCATTATTCGCAACAGACAAGAGATGGAAGCAACCCTAGTGTCCGTTCACAGAAAGATGAATGCGTAACTAAAACGTGGTCTCTACGTGCAGTGGAATATTATTCGGCCCTAAAAATGGAAGGAAATTCTGACCCAAGCTACAGCAGGGATGGACCTTGAGGATATTATGCTAAGTTAAATCAGCTGCCACAAAACGACAATACTGTACGATTCCACTTTATACAAGATACTCAGAGTAGTCAAATTCATAGAAATAGAAGGTAGAATGGCAGTTTCCAGAGAGTGGGGGAGGGGGAAATGAGTTGTTTAATGAGTGCAGTTTCAATTTTGGAAGCTGAAAAAATTCTACAGATCTGTTGCATGACAACGTGCATGGAGTTAACATGGCTGAGTTGTACACTTAGAAAAGGTCAAGATGGTAAACTTTGTTATGTATTTAACCACAATTAAAAAAAAAAAAACAAAACAACAGAACAAAACTGAGTCTGGCATGTAGAAGGGATCTGGGATTATCAGGAGCAGAGACTGTCAATCAGGCCTTTGGAGTCACTTTAATCTCTGGGCACCCCAGCACAGGTTGAGTACTGATGGAGGACACAGTCCAGCCTGGGACAGGGAGGCCTGCATCTGGGAAGAGGTGGGCATGACTCTGGAAAGGGCCTCTGGGCTCTTGAAGGGGCTGTGTCTGGGTGGCTGGAGTGGAAGGAGGGGTGGTCTGTCAAGATGCACACACAACTCTTGGACCACAGATGCTTTTTGGTCAGTCCCTACCGTCACACAGCAGAAATTCAGGTCTTCTTTTGGTCTTGGCAAGAGGACAACTCCACCTTGATCAGGGCGCCTGGGTGGCTCAGTCTGTTAAGCGTCTGCCTTCCGCTCAAGTCATGATCTCAGGGTCCTGGGATGGAGTCCCACATCGGGCCCCCTGCTCAGCAGGGAGTCTGCTTTTCCCTCTCTCTCTACCCCTCCCCCCTGCTCTCTCTCTCAAAAAAATAAATAAATAAAATTTTAAAAAAAAGAGGACAACTCCACCTTGAGTAGTCCAACAAGAGATCCTTAGCTCATGAATGCTCAACAATGGCCAGAGCATCACTGATCCCTCTTGATTTTCATATTCATTCAAGAAGTATTTGTTGAGCACCATTCAAGAAGTATTTGTTGAGTATGTGTCAGGCACTGATGAGTGCTGGGGATAAAGCCATGAACATGGCAGGGAGCATCCCTGCTCTCTTGGAAGTTACATGCAAACGGCAGTCATACAATAAGCCAGTAACACAGGTGTTAACTGCAAGTAGACAGGCCCTTTCCCAAGTGGATGTCCCATTGCCTGAGAAACGCAGGCAGGTGGAGGGGACCCAGGTGGCTATCACCATAGAAACCACATGGCACAAACTGCCCTGAATCTGCCAAGACTGAGGTCTTGGAGTGAGTGAATGCTGTGAAATGCTGTGAAGCCCGGGAAAGAAAAGACAGCAATGGCCCCAGACATCTCATTGATGTTGATTAATCGAACGATTAGTACCATTAATCCCTGCTACTCAAATTGCAGTCCCCAATTCAGCATCACCTGGAAACTTCTTAGAAATGCAGCACCTCAAGCACCACCTGAGAGCCTCCTGGACCGAAGTCTGCATTTTAACAGGATCCTAATGTGATTCATGTGCAGAATTCGGGAAGCCCTTTATTAGACCATTAGTGGTGGTTACCTCTGAGGAAAATGGGGGTGGATGGATGAGACGGGCCGTCTGCATTTTAATTCATACACTTCTGTATCACTTGTATTTCATGGGAGGCTTTTAAAATTAAAAAAGAAGAGCGCCTGGGTGGCTCAGTCGTTAAGCATCTGCCTTCCGCTCAGGTCATGATCCCGGGGTCCTGGGATCAAGTCCCGCATTGGGCTCCCTACTCAGCGGGGAGCCTGCTTCTCCCTCTCCCCCGCATGTGCGCTCTCTCTGTCAAATAAACAAAATCTTTAAAATAAAAATAAATTTAATTTAAAAAGAGGCAAAATGTATTAAAAGCATCTTAGAAGACAATGCCCTTTATTAAAGGGGAGATATAAAATGCAAATAAAAGTACTACGTATCTCAAACATCACACAGACGCCCTGTACCTAAACCTACGTCCCCACAGCTTCACACGATGTCCACCCGCCCCACTCCTCCCCGGGGGACCTGGCCTGCTTCCGACCCCCAGCAACAACCTCGAGTTGAGAACACCGGTGTCCCATTCGGAATTCTTCGTGACTGGGACGTGGGCTGCTCACGGCCAAGCCTGAGCAGCCCTGCTCCTCCACCCTCGTGCGGGTCCGGCTTGAACCTTCGGCCGCCGCCTCCCGCTCCGTGAGGGCCAGCACGCCGGGCCAAAGTGTCCTGACCATACAAGTCTCCACACGCCCCGGTTCCCTGTGACAGCGTGGGACTTAAAACAGTACCGAGTTCCTGCTGCTCATGAGTCCGGGCTCGGTCGGGCGGTTCTTCTGGACCGGGCCAGATCAGGTGAGGCTGGACGGCTTAGGACCGCCTGGCTGACGCGACCGGACTCTGCTAAACCTGCGAACCACCGTTCCCACCTCTCTCAGCAGACTCTCCCACAATCCCTCACGGGGCAATTAGGGGATTCCCATTGGGCAAAGCAAGTCACGTGAGCCGCGTGGGCGTGGCTTCCGGGGCAGCTGTTCTCTAGGGGCCATTACTGGAATCCTCTTCCACAGACTCTGTGCCTCTGACCCTCTCTCCTTCACTTCCAGGCCGTATTAGCCAGCAGATGCCGAGCCAGCGTCTGGATCTTGTCAAAACACTCAACTTTGCCATCCTAACTGAACCCCACCCTTCCCTCCTACTATCGTCTCACATACTCCCTCCCTGACCTGGGGTGCTCGGCACCTCAGCGCTTACCTCCTTCCTGCTTGTCACACTGGCCTAGGAAACACTGGGCCCGGGATCAACCCGGATGTGACCCCATTTCTCCAGGGCAGCCACGGGCTGCAGAGCCCACTGGAGCACTGTGTGCCCCCACACTCCCAGTCAAACCACAGAGGGGCTGTCAGCACCGACTCTGGCAACCAGTCGCCCCCGCCCGCCCCTGTGGGCTCTCCCTCCGGGTCCCCATGGTGGCCAGGGGCTGCGGCCAGCCTTCTCCCTCACGCCTCCCCTTCCTTCCTCTTAGCACGCGGCCTGGCCCCCATGCCATTCATTATTCCTCTGCTTTCTTTCTTCAAAGTCCTTTTTTTTTTTTTTTTTAAGATTTTATTCATTTATTTGAGAGAGAGAGAGAGAGCACACATGAGAGGGGGGAGGGTCAGAGGGAGAAGCAGACTCCCCGCTGAGCAGGGAGCCCCATGCGGGACTCGATCCTGGGACTCCAGGATCATGACCTGAGCCGAAGGCAGTCGCTTAACCGACTGAGCCACCCAGGCGCCCTTCAAAGCCCCTCTTAACCTCTGGCATGTTGTGTATAGATGTTGGCTTATAGCTTGTCGGTACTCTCCAGAATCTAAGCCCTCTGAGAATAAGGTTGTTTGGGAGAGTCTTGGGTTAATTCTTGTATCCTCAGCACCAGAACCACGCCAGGCACAGGGGGACCCTTGATGCCTGTTCATTTAATGCACGAAGCAGAGAACAGTTCCAGTGCAGAGTTCACGGGAGGTGCCAAGTTAACGGGTTTGCAGTTAGCAGGGCTGCCTCCCTCAGAGGACAGGAAAGAGCTTCAGGGCAAGCCCTGGGCGTCGGTGGAAGAGGCAGCCAGGAGCAGGCACTGGTGGAAAGCCCCTGGTGGGTTGTAGGCCAACTCACTGAGGTGCAACCACTGACCACCTGCCTAGGAATCACCTCTGGGAGCCTATGACCAACTCCAGGGTGGGAGGACTGGAGGGCAGGTTGTCCCAGAGGCTTGCTGCATCTGACTTTAATGTAGGTGTTTACAGACTGAGTTGCCTGTGAACCCTGGAGATGAAGATCCCCTGGCCCCACCCTCACTGGAGTCACCCATCAATGCTGACAGCCCTGCAGGAACAGTCAGTGATGGAGCCTGGGCTCTGCAGTCATCAAGGGAGAGTTGGGGGTGGGGGACAGAGGACAGGAGTCCAGGCCAGGAAATCAGCAAAGGCACAAGGCCACGTGGCAGGTGTGGCCCAGCCATGGAACTGACGAGTATCCAGCTCAGCTGCAAGAGCTGCAGGAAGGAGCCCTAGTCTCATTCCCAGGCCTTGGCTCTGAAGCAGGAACCAGGACTGAACCAGGACTCAACCAGGCTCAAATTGAGCACAACTGTGTGTGACTGGGTTGAGGGCCACCTGGGGAGGGCTCTGCCATGCTGACAGGACCCCATGTGCGACTTCAGCAGGGCAGGGGTGTGTCAGTCAGACTTCAACCCTGGTGTCCTACTTCCCAGTCCTCTTTAGAGGAGGGGCCCCCAGCAAGAGGATCTGTCCCCAAGCCTCCCTTGGGAACCAGAGGCACTGAAGCAAGAGTCTAGAGATGGGTCCCAAGCAGGTACCCATCCTGTGGTGAACTGAGACCTCAGCCCCCAGGCATGGCCACATGCCAAATCCCATGAACCCCACTGCTTAACACCTCACTCCCTAGTCCAGACCTTCTCAAACCTGGCACCCACCCTTCTTCAATCCCCAGCTTCCAGCTAAGTGCCCGTCGGCCCACTGCACCATGATCAGGGTGGACCACAGCGCAGGCCCCGACTGCTGCCATGGCCTTGGCAAGTTGAGGCCACTATGGCCAGGAAGTTCTGCCCAGCTGCTGGCCACTCCTTGTTTACCAGTCTCACCTGGGGGCTAGGCTCATGGCAGGCCAGGTCAGCCATCCATGGCAAGGCCAAGCAGGGTCCTGATGCACCTTCCCCTCCCTGCTAACAGCCAAGAATCCTCAGAGCTTTGAGACAGCCATTGGGTGCAGATGAAACTGCCCCCAGCACACTGGGCCCCTTGGGAGAAAGGCATCCAGAGCCCCAGACCTGGGCTGTGCAGACAAGGCTGTGCTCTGAGGTGGGCCCAGGTCTCCATATCCCTCAAGGCCCCAAAGACAGTCACCAGGAAACCAACCCAGTGACCAAGAAACCACAAGCAGGGACAGGAGAAAGCTGGAGTCTACAACAGCATAAGGAAAAAGGGAATTTTATTTTTCAAGAAAACGTACTAACAGGTTGAGGGAAGAAGCACGTTGGCCACGTCCCCTGTTCTAAGCAGGGGTCTGAGATGAGGCCAGACCTGACCAGGGCTTGGGAGGAGCTAATGGGACTCCCTGTGGCACTGGGAAGAGGACCAGGCAGGCCCAGGGGTGGGACTTTGTTCTGTTAGCACCAGGAACCGCCCACAGCCACTGCTGGACTCGGAGACAGGACAGCGGGTGGCCCTGCTCTGCCTCCACCTGAGCAGTCTGGGGAGGGGCTGGTGGCAGAAGGCTCCCTGCAAGTGGTCATCTGAGCGTTTTTCTCAGATTCACAGACCAACCTCGGTCCCCCCAGCCCCCTGTAAACACAAGAATGAGCTCGTGACCACCAAGTCCCTCAGGACAAGATGAGGGTCCGAGACGTGTGGCTGGGCTTCAAGCGGCCCAGGAGCTGCCGGGCTTTCTCTTGCATGAAGAGCTGGTCCCTGGTCCCCCCACAGGCCACTGTTTTCCAGGCACTGGTCATCTGCGAGGAAGGAAGAGAGTTACCATCCAGGCAGAGGCAGCACGCTCCCAGTGAACGTTGTGAGCATGGCCAGGAGAAGTGGGGGATATTTCCATGACCTTCCTCCCTTCTGAAGCCACAAGTATTCTTGTGCTCCCTCCACCTTCCCGGTGGCCCTGGGGAAGTTCCTCCCGTTTCTGGGCTTCCTCAGATGTAAAGCAAGGAGGATGGACCAGGCAACATGGCCGTGCCCCTGCCCATGTGGCATGAGCCTCCTCACGTGGAAAAGCGACAGCCAAGCAGGCCAGTGGGAAGGAGCAGCGAGAAATTCCGAGACAGTGAGGTGCGAGCAGCCAAGGCAGCCCCTGCCCCTGAGCACAGACATGTGCTAAGCAACTAAATACAGAGACAATGATTAATTACAAGTGAGACCACGCCATAATAAAGGGGCTCATGGGGGGTGGGAGGGGCTCTCCAGCACACAGGCTCCCTCCCTGAGGGAGCGGCGTCCAGACTGAGATCTGAAGCATCAGCTAATCAAGCAAACAGAGCCTGAGAAGGGCATTCAGGCAGAGGCAACAGCCTGGGCGATGTCCCCACGGGTAACACCACATTAGTGGCCGGCACTCACAGGGGCAGGTGCTGGAAAGTGGCTTCGGGGCTTCGGGGCTGCCACCGGCTTCTCGGGCTTGGCCTGCAGGAAGCCCTCGTTGAGGAGGCTGGTGTCTTCTTTGATGCCTGGCACCGTGAGGCTGGAGGAGCTTGACAGGACATTTGTCGGCTGCAATGAAAGCCGAGCCAGACTCACCCTTCTGCCACAAGCGTGGTGGGAAGGAAGGAAACCCGTCACAGCCCAGCAGCTCCACCCCCGGGCTATTGGATCTTGGGCAGGACATTAACTTCTCTAAGCCTCGGGTCCTCTTCCAGATGGGGACTGCTCTGTCAAGTGCCTGTTTCAGAGCCTGGCACCTAATAGATGCCCAATAATGCCAATCCCTTTTCCATGGAGCTGGCTCCCCCCCGACAGGCCTAGTTTCTCCTGGGACCAGAAATCTCCATCAGTCACAGATGCCAGCATCAACCGGCACACACAGAGCTGCACAAAGTACCCCCAGCCTGGCCCGCCTCCTGGCTCGGCTTGACCTTTACCATCCTAATATTCTGCTGGGCTTGGTGCTCTGATAAGAAAGAACCTGAGGCTTGAGAAAACTAAGAGATCCCAGAGAGCAAGAGCCAGCGTTGGGACTCTGCCAGGCCCACCCCACCTCAAATCCCATGTTCTAAACTACTTAACCACACAGCTTTACTGTTTGGCAAGTATTTTACGTGCCCAAGGCGATGCCTGTTGCAGGTATGGCTGAACGGGACTAAGTCCCCAGCCTGGTGGGGCTCCCTGCCCAGTGATGCTTCTCTGCAATCTGCAAGGGCTATGGCTGCAGCAGTCCTAACTCCCCAGATCTGCAGGATCTGATCAGGCAGTCCTTTGTCTCATGCCCCCTGCATCCCCCCAAGCCTCTGACTGCCTCCCACTGGGCGATGCACCCCACTGTCAGCTGCAAGGGATCAACAATATGGCATACTTTCTGAGGGCAGGCTCTGTCGACAACAGCCCCCTTCCTGAGCTCAGCCTGGAGCTGGACAGCACCCTTCCCAGGGCTGATGTGCCCCAACCACCTAGCTGTGCCTTGAGGAAAATCACTGACCCTCTCCACGTCACCAACTCTCTCCACGTCACCCCCATGAGAAGGTGCTGGGGACCCAGATCCATGGTTTTCAAACATGTTCTAGAAATACAACTCTAGCAATGCTATAAACCCTTCTGTGAAAGACATATGCAGAGCTGCCTTGACTGAAATCGGGGGTGGGTGCCCAGCCCCACTTTCTCCATCAGCCCCTTACAGCTGAGCCTGACACCCAGAGCCCAGTCCGCGAACCACCAGACCACTTCACTGCCAGGGTCCCCTCACAGCTAAAGGGTTCTAAAGGCAGAGGGCCTCCAGAGAGACTCCATCCTCCCTGAGGCAGAGGAGCCTTCTGCAGTTCTGGGCAGGGGGAGCAGGTGACGGGGCAGCTTCTCTCTCAGACCCCTTACCAAGGACAGCACCTTGGGCAGCGTGGACATTACCAGCTTCACATCTTCATCCACGATGTCAAGAGCCAGGGACTTGCGGACCTTCTTGATGGGGCTCCGCCGTAGCTAGGGGTGGGGAGGAGGGAGACAGAGCAGATGTTTGGGATTCCCCCGAGTCACCACCAGCACTTTGGGGACGCCTGCCCCAACTACCCTGGTCACAGAGCCACACCCTGATGCAGTGGAGCCTTCGAACCAGGTCCCCGGCTGGCAAGGATTGGCGGTGTGCAGGTAGACCAGGAGACCCTGGCCCCATCACAGATTTAGCACCCAGGGCAGACCGTCCTGCCAGATGCAACCACAGAGAGCCAAGACACAAACACCTCCACCCAGAGACCCACTCCTCATCCCCAAATGGACCATGCACAGCCCCCAGGCCTCTAACATGCTAAACACACCCCTAAACAGGCCCAGGAGAGAATCATCCAAGTTACACTTCAAATATCCACCTGCAGATGAGGAACACAGACATGTAAAACTGAGGGACACAGGCCTGCTACAGGAATACCCAGCCCCACACCTGTGCCTCCAATCAGCAGGTCAGGGGTCAGCTCCAATACAGGGGAGGAGCTCTGGGACTAACTCACCCCGCAACCTAGCAGTACACCCTAAACAGATGCTGCCATGGCTCAGAACCACCACCTGACACGGAGAGGCCAGGGAGGGCCCTGGGTCAAGTTCTCTGAACCTACACACCCAGGGGCCCCTGCCCCATGGGCCCCTCCCACACCAACTGCCCACCTTCCCCACACACCCGTCTGGCGCATTCCCATCTTCCCACCTCTCCCCAGAAGAAAGCTTGTGCAAAAAAGGGGGACATGGAATCCGTCTGCTTTCAGGAAACACACACGTGGTGCAGCAAGGGCGTGGCTTCTGGGTTGGCTTGGGACAACCCCTGCCCTGCACGCTGCACCCAGGTGTCCCTGACCAGTGTCCCCACCAGCTCTCCACCTCACCTGAACCAACTGTGCCCCACCTTGCTCACACGGCCCAGATGTGTGGCTGACTTCGTCTGAGGACTTTCCTCTAAATCCTCTCTTTGTGTCCCTTTCTACTTACTCCCTTACTGCTGTGTGCATCGAGGGTCACTGGTGTGTTTGTCTAGTATCTGCCTCCGCCCCCTCACCTCCAGGAGGGAGTGACCTGGGTCTGTGTCACCATCCTATCCACTGCACCCAGCCCAGAGCCTACTTTAGAAGGGTCCAAACAAAGTGAGTGCTGCTTAAGGAAGGGACTAGCTCAGAGGAGATAAGGGGAAGGTCCCGAGCACCAGGGCCTCACTTTGGTGGGTTTTGTTGATAACCACTCTGGGCAACAAAGGTCAGGGGCTGCAGCTCCACCTTCCCCCGTGACCAACTTTTACCAGCTATTCCCAGACTCACCCCCTCCCCACTCTCTCCCCACGTCCTCATGGCTCCACCTCCCTTAGCCCAAACTGCCCAGGCTGGCAGGAAGGGGATCTCCAGCCCCCCCGGCCACTCACCCCAGCCTTCCTCTTCTGCTTCTCAGGCCTCGCCTCGTCCTCAATGATGAGCTCGATGCCGGCCTCCGAGCGCAGCACCTCTTTCAAGTCCTCCTCCAGGTGCGGGGTCTGGGGCTGCGGGTGGGGTGGGGCAGCCCACGTGAGGCTGCACAGCCAGGCTCTAGGACCCAGCCACAGCCCGGCTGCCCGAGGTAAGGCAGGAAGGAGGCCCGGGGCCAGGACGCTGACCTCACACTCTGTTGTGACCCTTAACTATGCTGCCTTGCAGGACAGACAAGCAGACACTGACTTCAACTCACTGAGGGCCATCATGAGCCAGGAGTACCCCCAGATCACCCCCGCCACCCTCACACAACCCCATGCAACATCTGTCATCTTCTACAGGTAGAAATGGGAGGCTCAGAGAGAGTAAGCACCTGGCCCAAGGTCACAGAGCTGTGGAGTTAGAACCTGGACACGATCAAGCCCTAAGTCCTCACCCCCTTTGTTCCACACTAATGGGGACTCTTGGTTCCATTTCCTGTTCTTGGGCCTGTGGGGTTCCAGGCGACCCCTCTGGCCTCAGGCGGCAGTGACCAGGGAAGGGAGAGAGCAGCAGGGGTAGCGGACAGCTACCCTGCAAAGTCACTCTACAAGTCCCTACATGCTTTCATTTTAGTTGCCAAGGTCAGATGTGCCCCCTCAAACCAGTCTGGAAAGCATGCCACCATCTCAGTGTCTGGGAACCATAGCCCTGTGCTTCACTGGGCTCATTAACTCCATCCACTCATCAGCTCCATCCCAGGGCCGGGGAGACCACAGCAAGAGAACCCCACACCGTGGCGGTGATGCTGGGGGCAGGGCAGGCACACCACAGACCCTGTTTACAGGCCAAATGCTTCCTGACGACCTCTCTCTCACCTTCAAGTCATTTCTAGAACACCTGCCTCTGTTTCAGAAAGCCCACTGTGCCAGCTTTCTGTTTTCACCGGGGAGAGCATGACCCTCTGGGAGGAGTGGGGAGAAGGGGGGTCTGCCCACTGCCAGGAAGGTGCCTCCTCACTGGCCCCTCAGGCCCACCCACAAGTTGGCTTCCCTAAGTGTTAGAAAGCAGCGGCAGTTGGTCAAAGGCTTCGGTGGGAGGAGCCACTGGCCACAACACCTGAGCCATCGCGGCTCAGGCCCATCTCCTCCCCGGCGCGGGAAGCGCACTGCAGAGTGCTGAGTTCTCCGGGTGCCAGTGCTTCAGGCCACCCCCACCCCACACACTGAGCTTCACCAGGATGCCACTGCGCCTCCAGCACCAGCCAGTGCCCACCCAGCACGTTGCAGATGCTCAGGAGATGTCTGATGAATTGTAACTCAGTCTCTGATCCCCCATTTGTAAAATCAGGATATTTGCAACTTCTCAGGGCTGCGTGAGGTCTCAGAGGGAAAGGGCTCTGTGAGCCGAACACGGCTACGTGGACCCGAGAGACCCCACTGTGCACACCCGTCTGGCTGCACACATACCAGGGGCTTTAGTGGTCCATACTTCTCCAGGGCATTCTTGAACGGGGTTGGCGTGTGGGGAGTGTTGTCCATGGAGTACTTCTGATCTGGGGTTACAAACCTGTCAGGCAGAAAATGAGGCTGAACGATGGGGTAGGGGAAAGACACCAGCCACTCTGCCACAGACTGCCCATGACTCCCACCATCCCTCCACCTGACCTTTGGCCTCGGCAGCAAGGAGGAAGTTCCCATGGCACTTCCCTACCCACCTTCATACCCCTGAGGATCTTCATCAGAGGCTTAGAGGAAGGGCCAGCCTCAGAAACAGGAAAGAATAGGACATAGTCCTTCCAGCCAGGTGGAAGAATGTTTGAGAATGTTCCTCAGTCATTAGCTGATCAATGATGACTTTTTCATAAACAAGGGAGGCCACACTGCAGGCCCGCAAGAGAAGGGCAGGGGAGCAAGGCGAGAATCCAGGAAGACCAAGTCCCTTCCCCAAGCTCTTCCAGAGCACGAGTGGCAGTAGCATTATTAAGGGAAGACACGTGATACGAGATGGTGAGGCCAACACACGTGCTCAGCATACCCTCTTCCCAAGTCCCCTCAAAATGATCACAGTGGGGACACAAATGGGGAAGGAGAGCTTTAGCAGACAGAAACGTGGGGAGGGAAAAAAAAAAAGAAAGAAACGTGGGAAGGGTCTGGTCCACAAGCAGAGATACTAAAAAGCTTCTATCAGCCCTGGCCCCAGCAGCAAGCGATTTCTGCCTGTGATGGAGAAGCCTCCTGGGGAAGGCCCAGAAGAGACCCCTCTCACACACACACCGGGCCCAGAAGAGACCCCTCACACACACACACCGGGCCCAGAAGAGAACCCTCTCACACACACATACACCGGGCCCAGAAAAGACCCCTCACACACACACACACCGGGCCCAGCAGAGACCCCTCACACACACACACACCGGGCCCAGAAGAGACCCCTCACACACACACACACCGGGCCCAGAAGAGACTCCTCACACACACACACACCGGGCCCAGAAGAGACCCCTCACACACACACACACCAGGCCCAGAAGAGACCCCTCACACACACATACACCAGGCCCAGAAGAGACCCCTCACACACACATACACCAGGCCCAGAAGAGACCCCTCACACACACACACACCAAGCCCAGAAGAGAACCCTCTCACACACACACACACCAGGCCCAGCAGAGACCCCTCACACACACACACACCAGGCCCAGAAGAGACCCCTCACACACACACACACCAGGCCCAGCAGAGACCCCTCACACACACACACACACCGGGCCCAGAAGAGACCCCTCACACACACACACACCGGGCCCAGAAGAGACTCCTCACACACACACACACCAGGCCCAGAAGAGACCCCTCACACACACACACACACCAGGCCCAGAAGAGACCCCTCACACACACACACTGGGCCCAGAAGAGACCCCTCACACACACACCAGGCCCAGAAGAGACCCCTCACACACACACACACCAGGCCCAGAAGAGACCCCTCATACACACACCAGGCCCAGAAGAGACCCCTCACACACACACCAGGCCCAGAAGAGACCCCTCACACACACACACACCAGGCCCAGAAGAGACCCCTCTCACACACACACACCAGGCCCAGAAGAGACCCCTCACACACACACACACACCAGGCCCAGAAGAGACCCCTCTCACACACACATACAAGGCCCAGAAGAGACCCCTCACACATACACACACCACAAGCTGGGTGTGGGCAAACCAGCTCTCCACCTGCATGAGGCCGGCATGACCTCCGTCAGCTAGAGGTACCACCACAGCTCACTCCCAGGCCTTCCTGGGACTGTCAGAGGATGTGAGAAACACCCAGGTAGTCAGGAACTTGGGAGCAGAGGCCAAGGTGGACACAGCTGCTGGGGACCCCCTCCGGCCGCCTCCCCCAGCCTACCAGCCATTCCATAGGGAGATAAAAGGCTGGAACAAGGGCAAACCATTCTTTATTTCCTTCCTCAGGATTGAGACTAGACAGGGATCCACTCAATCTCTTCCCAAATTCTTGTTATCTCCCACACAGGACATACAGAGGCCCCCCCTCTGGTAAAGATGAAGAAGGACAGATAAGTACTGGTCAAATGTAAACATCTCACAGTTCAAACTGTAGTTCAAAGGGATGAATCAGAGTCTCAGGATCAAACATCTCTGTGGGACTTGGAGCTTTTGCAACAAACATGAGAAAACCCTAGAACCTCTCTAATTCATAGTATCTGCAAGAACTGAGAATATATGCGTGTCAGAACACCAAGGGAGGCCAACTTGAAAAGGAAAGACAAAAGATTGCTTGAGATGAGAAAAGTGCAACTCTGTAAGCTGGAGGCCTCAGGTGGGAAAGTACAGGAGCAAACTGGAGAATCAGAAGACAGTCCCACGGTGTTCTCGCAGAGTTCGAGTGGCTTATTAGGACAATGAATAGGAAGATGAAGATGGACAAAGACACAGCAACCGACGAGACTGTGTAGGGAGGACCTAAAGATAGAAGGTAAAGGAGCAGACCGCCAGAGAAACAATTAAAAAAAAAAAAAGTGCATGTTCTTAGCTCAAAGTCTGAGCCTTGAGTTTGAAAATCATGGTGGTGGGAGTTAAGAAACAGCACACCTACATCTAGCTTGGCAAATTTCAGGAATTAACTAAAACAAAAAACAAAACAAAAAAACCCCCCACCAAATCAAACAAAAAAACAAAAACCACAAAAACCAAAACCAAAACCAAACCAAAGCCCTACAAGGATCCAGAGAGAAAGAAAAGATTTGGTACGAAGAAGTAACAGCAGGTTAGGTATCAGATTTCTCTGCAACATGAATGCCTAAGAAAACCAAGCAGAGCCCACGGTTTGGGCTCACAGCTATTCTTCCTCAAGACTTCTAGATCCACCTGCTGTTGTCGAAATACAGTAGACAGCCAGCCCAGACGTGATGGCACAGGCCCCACCCCCTCCTCGCTCACAGCCTTCTCTCTGGGAAGAACTCCCTCTAACCCAGAAAAGAACCAAATTTTAAAACCGGGGAAAGTCTGTGATTTATGAACCAGTAAAATCTTAGGGGTGTTATCAGCTCCATGTGGCCCATCCCCATTGACACACAGCCCTGGTGACCCCTGACTTCTTGTCTCCCATGCTCTACACCCGCTTCGCTCCAAACCTAGGGGCCTTCTTTTTGTTCTTTACAACACAAAAAAGCATCTGTCTTTTGTGTTTACAGTTCGACCTGCCTGGAATTCCTTTTTCTCAGAATTCTGCATGGGTCTCCCTCCCTGAAGGGCCATCCCTGACGTCCTCCTAAGTTAGAAGCTCCTTGCCGTTACTCGTGCTCCCCCTGCAGGCCTATATAAAATTCCCCTCAGTTTCTAGCACCATCAGAAACATCATACATTCAGTGTTTTGTTTCTTTGTTAATGAGCTGTCCCTTCCAGTAAACCGTAACTTCTATGGGGGAAAAGAATGGGAAAGGTGGGATATAAAACCAGTGGGCACGGAAACCAGTCAAATTTGGAACGAAGTCCAAATAACTGTTGCCTATGAAGTCTTGCATAGGTCAAAAAGAATTTCTGAAAGAGAAAAGAGGAAAACCAAAACAGTCTTTTGTGACAAGAATCTGGATTTAAAGATGAAGCAGCAGATCTCCACTCCAGGCCCAAGTGGGACATCAGGGCCAGACTTCCTCTCCTGCCTGAAACAACGAAGCAACAGTACACCGTGGATGACACAACGGGCTTCAAGACCCTGGGCACCAGAAGGCAGAGGACAGGGACCCAAGAGACGGGAGACAGAAGAGGATGGCTCTCAGGTACAGCATAGGGACGAAAGCAGAGGAGGAGCCTGGCACAACCTGGAGTCAAAGAGACAAGGGCAAGTGTTCGGGGAGACCACGGCACAGCATCACCAGAGGAGAGAGTTGCATAGGAGGGAACGCCAGTCATCTGCAGACGGGCTGGAGTATCCCGCAGGGCACTAACTGGTGCACACACTTGAGGAGGCCACCTGAGATCAAGATAGAATAATGCAAAAAGAGCAGAGGGAACAGTACTTGACGCTCACGCAGGGCTGGAAACAGCGCTCAATCCCACCAGCCAGACTGGAAATCCTCATCACTCACAAGATAGAGGGTAGAGCACTGGAGGGTCCTGAACTAACTGCTGCTCCAGTCCCACCTGATAAACCTTAAAAACAAGACCGACCCAAAGGATCAAATTATTTCTAAGTGGGCGCCTGGGTGGCTCAGATGGTTAAGCGTCTGCCTTCGGCTCAGGTCATGATCTCAGGGTCCTGGGATTGAGTCCCGCATCGGGCTCCCTGCTCCTTGGGAGCTTGCTTCTCCTTCTCCCTCTGCCTTTCTCTCTCGCTCTGTCTCTCATGAATAAAAAAAAAATTATTTCTAAGTAACTCAACTAACTGTATCCCAGAACAAGGCTCTAAAAAAAGTCTAAGAATACAAAAATATACAGCACTCAGCAAGGTGGAATTCACAACGTCTGGCACCCAATCAGATGTCACCAGGCACACACGGAGAAGCTAAGCAGGTGCTTACAACCCAAGCAAAACCCACAAGAAGAAAAGCCCATTTACTGAAACTGACCCGGAACTGATACACAGCTAAAATCAGCAGGCCAAGGACATTAAGACAGTTGTTATAATTGTACTTCATATGTCCTACAGCAAAGCCGAGATGGAGGATATTTTAGAAGATCCAGTTGAACATCTGGAGACAGAAACCACAATGCCTAAGATGAAACACACACCGGATGGGATTACCAGGGACCAGATGCCGCAGAGGAAAGATTAGTCACTTGAAGGTAGAACAATAGAAACCATCCAAAACAAAATAGAGAGAAAGAGTGAAAACAATGGTAATATCATCAGTAAGCTGTGGGACAGCTCCACGTGGCCTAATATGTGTATAATTGTGGAGTCCCTAAAGAGGGCTGGGTGGAAGGCCCGGAAAGAATATTTGAAGACATAAGGGGTGAAGTGTTTCCAGATTTAATGAAAACCCAAAGATCCAAGAAGCTGAACGCCAAGTGAACGCCAAGTGTAAGAAACAAAGAACAATCCATTACAGCACATCATAATCAGCTTGTTCAAAATCAGTAATAAAACAGTACAGGCCAGATGACAGGAGAGCAACATCCTTAAAGCTCCAAGGAAAAATCTGTCAACCCTGAGTTCTATACCCAGCAAAACTACCTTTCAAACACTAAGGCAACTTTTCAGATACAAACTTTCCAGATTCACCAGCGGGCCCAAGCTACAATGTTAAAGGATGACCTTCAGAGAGAAGGAACATATTACCAGGTGGAAATGCAGATCCATAGAGGAATGAGGAGCAGTGGAAATGCTTCTTCATGTGAAAAAAAACCCCAGAAAGGCTGGAGCAGCCGCAGCAGATTAGAAACAGGGATGAGAAGGAAAAGGAGAAAGAAGCATCAATGCCTTTTGTGGCAACAGCGTACCTACTTAAAGGCTTAGATTTCAAAAATTCTGGCTTGAACAGAGAATCATTCCTCATGCAACATGTCTGTTAAACTCTAGGTCAACTGTTGAGAGACTGATTTCTGACCAGAGGATTCATAAAGCTTTCCTGAAATTATGTACCATTACAAGGGCTAACATTACTGAGCTGATTTCCCGAATTACACAGCTTACTCAGGAAATAACAAGGTAATGCTCTCCTGCAGCAAAGGTAACAAGCAGAAGCACAGTTAAGCCACTGTCTCTACCTGGAATCCAGAGTCAGGATGCTGCAGGAAGTGCACTTCTGTGAAAGCACTTCCATAAAAGCACACAGCAAGAGACCTGTACAGGTGAGACATGGAGCTTTGTAAGCTCACAGCCTGAGCTCCTCCTGACTGAGCACCACAAAGAGACAGGGAGAACCAGGGCACTTCTGTCCTTCATGTTAAGGCTGCTCAAACACAGTGGATTTGCACTTGAAACTTACACAAGATGGGGAGATTTCTTCATGGCTATTTGGACTCTAGTCCTGAGATTGGAAAACCATCAAATTAAAAACTGAAAATGAGGAACAACAAAGATGAAGCACCAGACCATCCTGACATAAACAAAGAGGTGTGGTGGCCAGAAGGAGGCTGCCTTCCTGAAACAGTCTCAGGTGTTTTTCCAAAGGGGATCCTGGTCCTGGCTTGGGGAAGGGGTGAGGCCCAAGCTCCTGGACCAGCAGGGGTGGGTGGGCACAGCACTCACGCCGCGTGTTTCTGGTGCAGGGGCGTCTTATCCCGGTGCAGGGGTGTGGTGACCACCACCTTCTGGCTACACACCGGGGTGGACGTCAGTGAGGGGCTCTCCAGCTCCAGTGTGTCCTGTTTGTTCCAGAAGTTCAGAAACTGCAGAGAAGAGGATAGAAACAAGACAAAGTGACAATCTGCAGGGGTGGGGGTGAGACCCTGGACGCCCCCCCCCCACTCCCCAACATGGCTGTTCTCTGACAGAGGTCTCCCTCCTGACCTGGGAGCACTCCCCTACCAGGCACCAGAAAATGAAGACCAGGGTAGATCAATAGGACCCACCGTCTAGGTTCACATAGACCCCTGGGATTGTCACTGCCCCCAGCCCTGGCTTTTGTGAGGCCGGGGAGGGCCATCCCCCACACCCACAGCACTGCCAACTGTGCAGTCAGGGCACAGAAAGCTGGCAGTCTTGAGAGCAGCTCCTTTTCAGAAGTAAGACTAGCTCTCACCCGACCTGTGGACAGGGGACAGTGACAATGGTGCTGGTGACGTGAACAGGTACAGCACCCCTACACACCACAACTAAGCATTCACACCAAGAATTCCATGTAGTTTTCACAGATCTTCTATGACATAGGTGCCATCACAACACCCCATTTTACAGATAAGAAAGCTGAGGCTAAAGAGGTAAAGGTTCTTGCACTGAGTGCTAGAGACAGGACGCAAATCCAGATCTGAGCCAAGTCTGTGGCACTACTCTCCCCATCTTTGCCCTGAAGGTGCCCCGGTAGCCCAGGGCCACAAGCAGCCCTTGGGTCCACAGCCCTGAGCGGGGTCCCCATCACCCTGAGCTGTTTGTTGGGCAGCTCAGGGCTCGCTGTCCTTCTCTTGTCAGCTGCCCTTACTTGGGGCCTGCTATAGCTGAACGGTGTGGTGTCCTCCCAAATTCCCATGTTGAAGCCCTGATCCACAGGACCTCAGAACATGAATGTATTTGGAGACAGAGCCTTCAAAGAGATGATTAAGGTAAAATGAGGTCATAAGGATGGGCTGGTGTCCTTAGAACATTCTACAAGGAGCAGGTTAAGAGATTATAAGAGAAAGGAGATTAGGACACAGACACACACACAAAAGGAGACCATGTGAAGATACACAGAGGAGACAGCCAGCCATCTACAACCAGGAGAGGCTCCGAAAAAACTGAACCTGCCCACACTTAATCTCAGCCTCCAGAACTATGAGATTAATTTCTGAAGGTTAAGCCCCCTGGTCTGTGGTACTTTGTTTTGGCACCTGTAGCAACTAACACAAGACCTCTCGCAGAAAAATACCACTAATCACCCCTGACACGGGCCTGGCCTCGATCCTTGAACAGATGATGGAAGTAGCCTCCTAAAATGTGCCTCCTCTGGGCCTCACTCTCCCCCACATCCTCAGGGAGGGGGGTAAACATAGTGAGACCCAAAGCCTCCATCCACTCTCTTCTGGTCTGGGGCCGGGGAACTCCAGGGTCTGCCTCTCGCCTGCCCTTCCAGTCCATCCTCCCATAGCCCCACCACCCCCTCAGCCCCCTTGTTTACACCTATGGCCCTCCAAAGCCCCTGCCCCTTCCCCCAACTTCCCCATCACCCTGGCTCTGGACTTCACACCATGCACTCTGCCCCTCATCTCCATGCCTGTGTTCAAGCTGACAAAACCCAGCTCAAACATCTCTCTCGGAAGCTCTGAATGCCTCCCTGACAAGTAGGGAAGACAGGGTCCCTCCTCAGCTCTCCCTAATAGTACTTTCATTACAAACAGAGCAGTACCCAGGACACAAGCTCCCAACGACCACAGCACTTTCCACACCACATTCTGTTCAAGTAATTACAAGCCTGCCCCCAGCACTCACTACCCTCATCAAGGGCAGGGCTATGTCACCTTCACCATTACACCCCAGGGCTGGCAAATCTGCTATGAGCAGGTGCGCAATAAACTCTTTTAGCAAATACTGAGTCCCTTCTCTTCTTTGCCCAGTTACCACCTATTATTCCCCAGCTAAGCAATCCCTCCCTCCTCATGGAAGCCTTCCAGGATGACACCTACCCCCCAGAGGAGATGCCCTCACAGCTCTATAAGCCTCACATACCAGGTGTCACATTCATTTGCAGCTTTCTCTATTAACTGGTCTTCCCACCAGAGCGTAAGCTTCCCAAGGGCGGAGCCAGGCCTGGTTTTGCTCCCCTCTACGCCCCCAGCACCTAGCACAGGGCCTCACACACAGCAGAGGCTCAGGGAAGCCTTGCTGAATGACGTGTGCCCACGTGCGAGGCCCTGTCCCAGGCACTGGAGTCTGTACACCGAACCCAGCAAGCATCGGGGTGGGGTCCACACACCTGGGAGGGCGAGAAGGGTAGGGTCTTGACGGGTGTGCTCTTGGGGGTGAGGCTGTTACAGGAGTCCAGGAAGGACAGGCTGGCGCTGTTCTCCGTGACAGGGGACAGGGCGACACGCCTCTTCTTCTGCCGCTTGAGCACCGAAGGTGGCGTGCCGATGCCCAAGCCCCCCACCTCAGTGCTGGGGGAAATGGGGATCAGCTCGCCCCGACTGCTCCGGCTCAGGTCTGAGATGGTGTGGCCGTCCAGGCGGTACTCGGTCACACTGGGCACCAGGGCAGCAGGCTGGCGGGGCGGCGGCACCTGCTGCCGCCGTGATGGTGATGGCTGCACCGGGCTGTTGCTGATGCTGCCCTCTGCGGACGGCTCCTCGGGCAGGTCAAATTTACTCAGGTCACACCAAGCATCAGGGTCCTGCCCAGAGATGGGGGGTTAGGAATAACTGCAATCACTCTGCTTTCGCAGCCGACACAAGAAGACTCATTCATTAAAGGACAACACACACACATCAGGGAGGAACCCACAGCCCCGGAGTCATCACCATGAACGTTTTCTTGGGTTTGCTTGAGGATTCTTCTACCATCTGTATATCTCTATCTGCAAACATACCTGAAGGCACACTGCGCATATGGCTGCTTGCTGTTATTTTTAAAAAGTGATACATAAGATAGAAAGCACAAAGAAAGAAAAATCAGACACCCATCAAGGAGTCTAGGAAATAAAACCCTATAAAAAAAAAAAAAATCACTGAAGCCCCAGACCCACCTCCCCTTGGTCACGTCCTCTGCCTGAACTCAGTATTTACCATCTTCATGCATTCCCTTCATTTTACCACTTACATCCCTCAATGATAGCTAGGATTCTGCGTTTTTAGCCTTAGAAAAAAATCATTTCTATATCCTTTTTTTCACTTAAAATTATAGTAATAATAATAGTGCCTAATTCTATTACCTATGAGTTAGATGTTTACTATTAACAAGTATCAGTTATTATGTGAAAAAATTTTCAACTTTTATAACAGTTTTATGACTGCAAAATATTCGATCATATGAATGTATCGGTTACTTAACTATCCCCCTCTTCTGTTGGACATTGTTTTTTCCCCTAGTTTTTAAAAATTAAAAATAACATCTTCATGAACATCTTGGATACAAATCTTCTCCTGCATTTTTGGTGACTTCCTTGAAAGAGACTTAGGCCCCAGGCTGTGTGGCCAGGTTTAAGGGTCCTGATCCACACAGCCACACTCCTGGAGAATGGGCTCCGCTGTGCTCCACGCACCTGTCAGTCATGGATGCCTCCTGGGCCAACTTCACCTAAACTGTCTCCAGTCCCACAAGAACCTGCCAGACAAACATTACTCTCCTCCTTTCCAGGCCAGAGACGGTGCAATCTGCCTGAGGTCCCTTAAGTTTCTGGGAGCAATTCTGAGAGTCATACCCAGGTCTTCCTTCCTTTGCCCAATAAATTACAACCCAGCCACACGGCTGCTGGGAGACAGAAGCTTCCGCTTTGGTCCCTGGAGGTCTGGCCCTGAGTAGAATCAGATCCTCATGATGACTGCTGGTCCTTGGGACTCGAGGGAGCGTGGGCAGTTCATCTCTAAGGGTGGAGGCCAGCTCAGGGCAGCACTGACTTCAGGCCCATGCTCCCAGCAGCAAACCTCAACCTCGAGGAGGCCCCAGACTGATGGTGTCTAATGGACCAGAGAAGCAGATCCTACAAGCACTGCCTGGAGGGGCAGACAGCAGTGTTTCCACAAACGCTGTAACAGAGCATGTATGTTAGGTAGCAAGTAAGGAGCCTGGCCCATGGTGAGCACTTAAATGTCAGCTACTGTCGTTACTAATTAAGCATTCAGCCGGGCATACAGTGGGCGCTCAATAACACTTAGCTCCCCTCCCCCCACTCTCTGGACCTATCAAGTGAAGAAGAGGCAAAAGAGTCTGAGGATGAAAGCAGGTAACACCATGAAAGGCCAACATGCCAGGCACAGAGTGCGTCCTACGCTCATCTAACTCTCCATAGGGTCCAAATCGGGGACTGCTCCTTGCAGCCTCAGAGCTATTTATTGAACGTATTGACAAACCAATCAGACCTGCTTCTCGTGCCACTCTGAAATTTCTTGGAGTGGAGGGGACACCACAGCTAGACCCTACAGCCAGGACCAGTCCCAGTCTCTGGAGGCAAGAGGTGGTCAAGACAGCCCAGACCACCAGGCTTACTCACTGTGTGACCGTGGGGACACTACTTAACCCCTCTGAGCCTCAGTCTCATCTACAAAACAGAGAAAGGACATACCTCACAGGATACTGTGTGGATTATACACTGAACCCAGAGCCTGGCATTTAGATGTTCAATAAACAGCATCATTATTCTTAGCAAGAATGGGGAAACCTGGGTGGGAAGGTGAATGTGGGGTGCCTCCCACTGAACTCCGCTGTCCCTAGTTGCCAGCCCTGTCCCCCATCACCTCCTGAAACCTGCTCCACATGGCAGGCCTGGCTGACACAGCAAGGAGCTGGGATGTCCCATCAGGAGGTTCAGCCCCCACCAAGGAGCTCTCCCCAATGAGGTACAATCCACAGCCAGGGTGGCCTCAGAGGCAGCATTACTGGAGTTACCAGAACCCACTCAGCACTCCAACCCCAGCCCTACATCCAGTGCTGTGAGTGTTATGGGCCTCAGACGCCCTCCCCTCATCATCCCTAAGGTCTCAGGGCAGTGCTACCTCCTCTGGGGAGCCCTCCCACCCGACCTGCACTGTAGCACATGAGCACAAGGACTGCATGGCAACCATCTGTGTCCCCAGGCCCTGGCTCCCAGCTGGGCACTCCGCATCAGCTCAGGAGATGTTGCAGGATGACGGAGTGAACAAAAGGATGCCCGCCCAAGAAAGAAGCATTCGGCGGGTGCTCTGGGCCCACTGTGAAGAGCTGTGACCAACATTACCGACTCGATCAAGTCCAGGGCTTCCGAGAGGCTGGACCCCACGGCAGGGATGAGGAGGTTTGCAGCCTCCACCACCCACTTGTAGGGCAGGCTGGTTTCCGGCGAGGAGCCCTCCTGGTCTTCACGCTTCGGGAAGTCCTCCAAGGGCTCTGGTGTTCGAACTCCATCCAGGTCTGCAGGGACAGCTCCCTGCTCCTTAGAGGTGGTGGCTGCCGTGGCCTCCTCCTCACTGCTTTCCTCTTCCTTCATGGCAGGAAGTGCGGGGGGCCAGCTGGTGACGAGACTACCCTGTTGGACACGAGGGCACAGGGTTCTGATTATGAGATGTACACTGTAGTATTCTAGCGAAAAACAGCACAACCTGGGGCGCCTTCTCAAGGGCAAGGAGTGCGATCCCGTGTCAATGGTGGGGGGCACAATGGCGTCAGGAAGAAGCCACGGGCTCTGGAATCAGCCAGAGCTTGGCCGTTTTTGTTAGCCGGCCTTGAGCAAGCTGTGTGACCTGTGTGTAAGTCAGCTCTCTTGCTTGTAAAATGAGAACCCTGAGGCTCACCAGGGAGGGGTGCTACAGAGATCAGCAAGAATGCGAACAGCGCCCAACTCACACCTTGGCTGTTAACTGCTATCGTTGTCAAGTGAACGGGATGGAAATGGTTTGTGGTCCAAGCAAAGGAAGAAAAGGAGATAAAAAGAACAGATTTGATTGAAAACTTGTAACCACGACAATCGGAGAAAGGGGAAGAATGCCATAAACGCTATTTAAAGGCTCGAATGTGGGAATCCCGCTTTGGAAACAGCCGTGTTGAAGAATGGCTTGGTGATTTCATTTAGAATTCAGAATACACTTAACCATACGACCCAACAATCCTAAACCTAGATGTTTATCCAAGAGAAATGAAAACTTATGTTTACACAAAATCCTGTACACAGATGCTTATAGCAGCTTTATTTGGAAACATAGCTAGGAATCAACGTCCCTCAGCTGATAAATAAAGAATGGTACTCCCATACAACAGACTATCACTCAGCAGTAAAAAAGAACAAATCACTGACAGATGCAGTCACATGGATGAATCTTAATGCATTAATAACTAAGCAAAAGAAAAATCACAGAAGAGTACAGACTGTATGATTCCATTTCCATGACATCCTTACTAAGATAAAACTACAGAGAGATAGAAAACAGAGAAAAGAGAAGCGGTTGCTAGGGGCTGGGGGCTTGGGAATTTTAGGCGGTGTTGGAAATGTCCTCCACCTTTACTGTGGTGTTGGTTACATTTGACAAAACGCACAGAACTATCTACTAAAAGGGTGAATTTTACTGTCTATAAACAACACCTTTATAAAGTGAAGGGATGAGGAAGCTCCACGTTTCCCAAACTGGAAAAAAGGAGTTATTATATGATAAAGGGGTAATATCCTTAATACATAAATAAAAGTTTATGAATGACAAAAAAGGGGGGGGGGGGCAAAGGCAAATCAATAAACTAAAGAAAAACCATCAACCTCACCAGTAGGAAATCAAACCGAAATGATAGTCCACTGTTGGCTCATAAAATTCGCAAAGATTTTTTTTTTTTTTTTTAAGAGAGGGAGAGAAAGAATCCTAAGCAGGCTCCACCTCCACTGTGGAGCCCCGAACCAATTCAGGGCTCGATCTCACGACTCTGAGCTCATGACCTGAGCAGCAATCAAAGTCGGAAGCTTCATGACTGAGCCACCCAGGTGCCTCAGCAAAGGCATTTTTTTATACAGTCACAGCCAGTGGTGACAAGAGTGTGGGACAACAGGCAATGCCATCTGTTGCCGACAGGACAAAATGGTACCACCACTCGAGTGGCAATTTGGTGATGCTTGTGAAAATTTCACACGTCCGTACCATTTGACCCAGTCATGCCACATCTGTAAAAACTAACCCACATAAATAAGTACATGCACAAAGAATTTGAACGATGATGTTCACTGCAGCATCTTAACAGAAATGGTAACAGATGTTCATCAGCAGGTTATGACAAGATGTGACAGATTCAAGGATAGTATAAAGATCTGTATGCGCAAAATGACATGGAAAGATTTAAGAAACTGTAAGGCAGTAAGTTATAACATAATCTTCATTTTAAACTTATTGCCCTTAGTAAGAAATGTTGGCAAACACATTAAACAATATATTGTTTCTCTCTGGCCGTTGAGATTAGCAGGCTCGGCCTTCTGCAATATTCAGTTCTGTAAAGTTTATAACTCTTTACAATGATCATGCATTACTTTTGAAGTAGAGGGACAGAATTATAATTGCAAGCACTGACCAGTGAGTGGGGAGAACAGGAGGTGGTCCCCATATACACATTAGTAGGCAAAATTTTCTGGCAGGCAATCTGGCAAAATGTATTAGAAGTTTTTCAAGAAATGTGTCTCAACCCATCTCCATGAATTTCTAAAGAAATAACTGAGCACATGAGCAGTGATTTGAGCTACGAGGGTCGTTAAAGTTTTGTTTCTATTTCTAAAAATTAGATATAACCGGGGCGCCTGGGTGGCTCAGTTGGTTAAGCAACTGCCTTCGGCTCAGGTCATGATCCTGGAGTCCCGGGATCGAGTCCCGCATCAGGCTCCCTGCTCGGCAGGGAGTCTGCTTCTCCCTCTGACCCTCCTCCCTCTCATGCTCTCTGTCTCTCATTCTCTCTCTCGCAAATAAATAAAATCTTAAAAAAAAAAAAAAAAAGCAGCAATACATTTTAAAAAAAAATTAGATATAAACATAATTACATAGACAAACAGCAAAATAGAACCATGAAAATGATGCTGGAGATGAAATGAGGCTGAAAACAACACGCTAACTGACCCCCAGGGGCTCATTCTGGCCCAGCATGGCCAGCGCTCCAGACGCAAAGTGCCAGAGGTAAAAGCTAAGTCAAAAAACTGACTTTCAGCCAAGGATTTTCAGAGACCAAGGAAGGTCTGTACACTTCCCCCCTATCCTAAAAAGTGACTGTGTCTGCTGATGTCCACAGTTTCTCTTTGTGGAACATATGCTTCTTCTTCAACCAGAAGTAAAAGGCTTGAAAACACGTGACTCAGATACACAACAAAGTGTGAGAAGTAGACTCCTCTGGTTAGGGGATATATGGGGAGTCCAGACTGGAAAAAGTCAATTTACTTTTCATTTTAGATATTTCCTTACTGTCTGTTACTCCACAGGAGCATTCATACCAGGGAATCAAGAGATATTCTCACATGTTGAAAAATCAAGAAACAGAGGGGCGCCTGTGTGACTCAGTCATTAAGTGTCTGCCCTTGGCTCAGGTCATGATCCTAGGGTCCTGGGATGGAGCCCCACATCGGGCTCCCTGCTCCGCGGGAAGTCTGCTTCTCCCTCTGTCTGCCGTTCCCCGTGCTTGTGCTCTCTCCCTCTCTCACTGACAAATAAATAAATAAAATCTTTAAAAAAAAAAAAGAAGGGCGCCTGGGTGGCTCAGTCGTTACACGTCTGCCTTCGGCTCAGGTCATGATCCCAGGGCCCTGGGATCGAGTCCCACATCGGGCTCCCTCCTCGAGGGAAAGCCTGCTCCCCCTCTCCTGCTCCCGTTGTTTGTGTTCCTGCTCTCGCTGTCTCTGTCTCTGCCAAATAAATTTTAAAAAAATAAAAATAAAAATAAAAATAAAGAAAAAAAAAGAAAAATCAAGAAACAGAAGCAGGGGTGCCTGGGTGGCTCAGTTGGTTAAGCGACTGCCTTCGGCTCAGGTCATGATCCTGGAGTCCTGGGATCGAGTCCCGCATCGGGCTCCCGGCTCGGCGGGGAGCCTGCTTCTCCCTCTGACCCTATCCCCTCTCATGCTGTTTCTCTCTCTCTTTCTAATAAATAAATAAATAAAATCTTTAAAAAAAAGAAAGAAACAGAAGCAAAAACATGCAATGCTGCAGTACAGCACCCTCAGAACTGGAGCGGTACACAGGTTCTACCTAGCCAGTAAGAAAAGGGAAGGGGGAGAGTGAAAAAAGATTATTCACTAGTTCACAATCACAGAAAAGACTAGAACAAAGCACAGGTGAAGTGTGTTACCTCCCATGATTCAGCATCATCAAATTTTCATTCTTTAACGCATTTCCTTCAAATCTTTTTTTGAGATTTTTTTTTTGGTGTATTCGTTTTGAGAGAGAGAGAGAGAGAGAGAGAGAGAGCGAGTGAGCGAGTGAGCGAGTGAGAGCATGAACAGGGGGAGGGGCAGAGGGAGAGGGAGAAGCACACTCCGCACTGAGCAGGGAGCCTGATGCGGGGCTCGATCCCAGGACTCCGGGATCATGACCTGAGCCGAAGGCAGACGTTTAACCCACTGCGCCACCCAGGCACACCCAATTCTTTTTTTTTTTTTAAGTTTTTTTTTTATTTTTGTAATCCCTACACCCAATGTGAGGCTCGAACTCACAACCCTGAGATCAAGAGTCACATGCTCTTCCAACTGAACCAGCCAGGTACCCCAAATCTTTATTTTTAAAGAATAAATTTAAAGAATAAATCATTAGAGAAATAAACTGGGTTTTAAAAAAAAAAGAGTTTTAAAAAAAACTCAATAAAAAGTTTGCTCTGCGGTGTGGGATGGGAGATGTTAACACCTGCATACTGGTTTCATTTTTCCAATTGCAAATGTAATACCATATGATTTAATTTATATGATTTTCTAGAAAACTGTATGAAATTATGGACTGAAAACAGATGAGGGGTGCCTGGGATGAGGGAAAAGGGCTGACAAAAAGGAAGACAAGGGAACGTGGGGGGTGATGGAAATGTCTATATCTCGATGTGGTTTGGTGGTTACAGGACAGTATGTTTTTTGTAATGACTCAGAACCGTACACTAAATGCCACGGATTTTACTGTAAGTGAATTAGACCTCAATAAATAAATAAATGACTTTTTTTTTTTAATTGCAAACATGCTTTTAGTATGAAAAGCCTGGCAAGGGCGACAGGTAGGAAGGAAGCTATTGCTAAGGGCAGAGGAGGCGTAGGACCTCTTCAACCCAATCCTCCATTTTCTACGTCAGCTTGTTCTGTCGTCCTTCACCTGCGGGCAGACAAGTGTCAGGTCTTTGCAGAATTACAGGACAAGGAAGGGCCCTGGTGAGGGAGATGCAGCCCACAGGAGACCCTGTGGCAGGAAGTCATGAACAGCTGTGGCGAAGATGAGAAGGAAAGAACACGTGTTAAATGAGATGGTCTGGCATAAATACGCAACCCACCAAACCCAGAGCCAGGCCCTGGGGCCAAGCAGCCTCGGGCAGCCGCCTCACCTGCTCCTCCACAGGGCGGGCGCTCTGGCCAGCATCCTTGTCCTCGAGCTCCAGCAGCAAGTACACAGGGGGCTTGCAGTCTTTTGACTCACTAAGGAAGCCACCCGTGTCCACCTTCCTTTTGATGGTGGAGTTCCAGTGATTCTTCACAGCATTGTCTGTCCTGCGGGGGGCCAAGAGGAGGCCTTTCAACTCAGCCAAGGTGCCACGAGGCATGTCACCAACCTCCCTGAGCGGACTTCCCACTTCTGTAAACGAGGGTTCAACCTGATGACTCTATGCTCTCTTTGTCTAAAGTAGGTTCCATGCCCAGCATTGAGCCCAATGTGGGGCATGAACTCACAACCCCAAGATCAAGACGTGAACTGAGATCAAGAGTCAGACCCTCAGCCGACTGAGCCACCCAGGCGCCCTGACTCTACAATCTCTTAACTCTAAGATGAAGTCACACGTGTTTCTAGCCCTCAACGATTTACACATATTTCCACTGACCTCAGCAAAATAAGCAAAGGTCTTAGCCCATGGTAAAATCAAACAGCTAAAATGTTTTTGAAGCTCGCATTCCCTTTTCTGCTCACTTTGAATCTGTAGAAACTAGAAGCAAACCTCGGGGGGCTGAGCTCCATTCTGAGGCTCAGGGTAACTTGAATGCAAGCCCTGGTACTCTTCTCAGATGGCAAATAGCCAGAGGGCAGAGCTGGATGGCACAGAGGGTCTGCAACGGGTCACTCTGAGCCTCAGTTACTTTATCTGGAGAATCAGGAGACGACTCATGCTCTCCCACTTACTGAAGATTAACTGAAGACACACATACGTCGTAGTGTAAGCACAGAGCACCACAATGCTACAGGAGCACCGAGTACTAGGATATGGAAGTGTAGAGAAGTACAGGAAGAGACTAGCAGAGCAGGAGAAAACCGTACAGTGGTATGGATATACAGCACGGTACAGTAGCGCAGAAACGTAAAGCATAGTGAAGCACCCGATAGTTTAGAAGTAACAGTGGCATACAGTAGTATAGCAGTAAGCGGCACGCGGGGCTGCAGAGCCGTAGAGAAGTACTGAGTACGGAGTACTATGGGAGCCCCTGCAGCACGCCGGTAAGCAGCACATGGGGCGGCAGCATCGTAGAGAAGTACCGAGTAGCGGAGTACTACGGGAGCCCTCGCGGCACCGCGGTGAGAGGCACGTGGGGCTGCAGAGCCATAGAGAAGTACCGAGTAGCGGAGTACTACAGAAGCCCCCGCTGCACACTGCAGGGCCGCGTGCAGCAGAGCGGGGCCGAGCACACACCCGTGTGGTACGACGGAAGCACGCAGCAGCAGAGCTGGAGAGAAGTGGGAAGTATGGAAGTATGGCAGCACAGCCTCGCCAACTGGACAGCAACAAAATCCATCAGACTGTAACAGAAATGCAAGCACACAGTAGGCACCCCTTCTTTGGGAATCCCAGCAGAGTGCTCTTCCCCTGAATCGTGAACGGACATGATGAACGGCCGGAATGAGGTGCCAGCCCAAGAGGAGCGTCGGGATCTCCAAACACTCCCACCGTGGGCCGTTAGGACAGAGTGCTGACCAGGCAGGGGTGTGGGCGGTATGGGGAGGTCGCTGGAGACTGATCACAGTCTGGAAGACAGAGAGACACCCCCACCAAAGACTGAAGGATGAGTGTGTTGGCTACACAAGGGGCACAAGCAGAGTGCATTCCAGACCAACAGAGGAGAGCACCAGTGGGTTCTCAGAAGGAGCTCACCGTGTTCGCAGGGCTGAGAGGAGTGCAGAGCAGCTAAAGCCCAATGGGTAAGCAAGGGGGACAGTGCATCAAGGCCAAGCTGGTGGCATCAGCCAGGCCAGGCAGGTCACACGGGGAGAGAGACCCAGGTCTTCAACCCAAGCACTAGGAGGAGCACCAAAAGGGTAACAGACTCAGGTTTGAGTTTTGAAACTAGGACCATTCCAGACTTCAGAGGAAATACATCATCTGACATTTTATCTCCTCTCTGTCCCAGGACCACAGTGTCATGACAAAGGATTACAAATGAAACTGAATACAGGGGAAATGCACAAGGACAAAGAGAACAGGGTAGAAAACAGCCACCACTAAGAAATTTTTGTAACGTTCCAGAAGATGGAAAGCACTTAGCGGAGCAGTAAGCAACTTAGGAGAGGGGATTTGACCCCAGAGGAAGATTCTGGCAAGAATGGAGCCAGGTCTTCCCAATGCTCCCCCAGAGCCCCAAGAGGCTCTTAGAGGGATCAGGCACAGCAAGGAGTAGAAAACAGAGCAGTGGTTTGGATGCCTAGATCCTGGTCCTGACCGCACAGGCAGGAGAAGAGGATTTTATTCTCTAGAAAAAGGGACCAGGCAACCCTGGCAGAGGGCACAGGTGGTGCACAAAGCTCCAACAGGGACCAAAGGAAAAATGTGTACACACAGTCGGAGGCCCCCAGGCTCCTTCTCCCTGCCCTGATCCAGAACTGCCTTCATAGCCATGCCCGGACACCCCTAGGCAAGAATCTGAGGGATTCATTCGCCTCTGGGAAAAGTGAACAACTGCAAACAAATGGGACTGACTCTTGGAATACCCCCCCAAAGCCCAGTGGATGCCCGCACTTCCTCAGAGCACCCCGGCTGGCCCCAGCCCCCCACCCACAGCCCCTCCCCCCCCAGCCCCCCCCCCCCCACTCCCCAGCTGGCAGCTCACCTCCCTGGCAGCATCTTGGCGATCTCGGCCCAGCGGTTGCCGAGCACCTTGTGGGCCTCACAGATGATGCGATCCTCCTCCTCGGTCCAGCAGGACTTCTTCACCTCAGGGTTGAGGTGGTTGTGCCAGCGCTCACGGCACTGCTTCCCCAGCCGGCCCTTCAGGTGCTTGGCGATCAGCGTCCATTGCTTCGTGCCGTACTTCTTGACCAGCTCAATGACCTGGGACAAGGCCTCTGTGAAGCCAGGGGCACCCGCCCCTCCCTCACCCCCAACGTAAGCCTCATCTCACCGCGGCCCTGAGAGGACCAGCTGGACAGCCCTGTCCACCCCCAGGACAGCCTCACCGTCCCTTGATCCGCTGGGGTGGGGGGAGGCCCACTGTATGCCAGGCACCGTCCCGACAGTTACCTTTTGATCCTCCTCTTTGGTCCATGGCCCCTTGACGAGGTCTGGATTCAAGACCCTCAGCCACCGGTACTGGCACTGCTGGTCGGTACGGTTCTGGGAAGAGAACAGGAACCCGTGAGGATTCCTAGGACAGCGGCCGGGGACCCTGGTTGAGCACTGGGTGCAAGGGGCCAGGCCTACCACAGACAGGTTTTGTCTTGTTCCCTTCACCCACCACACACTACACTCCCACATGCCAGAACACACATGGTTCCCCTCTGGGAAGCTTCCTCCTGCCCCCCAGTACAAGGAGGCCGCCATCAGGAGCCATAAATTCCTATCAAAGTTTGTGGTGTATGTCAGGGATCCTTCCTTGCTTCTGGGAAAGCATTATTTCCCTGAAGATTTCAGATCTCACAGAAGCAGGGAAGGTGAGGATTGTAGGCAGGAAGGGCCTGCTGACTTGCTCCCTGAGCTGCCGAGTGACTCAGGAAATAAGGTAGACAGCAGCTCTGGCCACATCCCCTCCCTACCAGACACCTGCAGTCCTGGGGGTGGGGGACATGGGGGACCTGCATCCCCAGGAGGCTCCAGCTGCTCTGGGGGGACCTCGGCAGGAAGCCCGTCCAAAGTATCACTTCCCCTCCGTTTCAGTCTCACTCTTGAGACTGTTTGCATTTCTCACAGGAAGACATGCAAATATGCCACTTGGTCACATGCTCCAGATGGCACAGAGCCTGAAGACCACCAGGCCTGCTAAGGCTGCTGTGTAGAGATGCTTATGACAGGGGGACTCGAATTCTGGCCTGGAAGAAAGGGCCTGGGAAGTTTGGTTGTTTTGGGGGGGGGTGGGCAGCTTTCTCCCTGACAGAAAGTCTGTCCCAGGCACACTGTTTGGTCGCCCAGAACCATCATCTCTGGGGGAGGGGGCCACCGAAGGGCTGCACTCACAGGGAAGTGGCTGGCCAGGAACTTCCAGTCTTGCTGTCCAAACTGCCTGACCAGGGTCCTCAGCTGCTCGTCCTGCCAATGCCAGAAAGAGAGGGCTCAGCTCACACACGTGCGGAAAGCAGCCGATCACGCTGGAGCACCAGCCTACAGGACAGCCTCCTTCACGCATGCAGTCATGAAGGGAGCACCTCCTATGTGCCCCGTACTACAGACACAGCAACGGGCAGTGACAGAGCTGCCCCATCTTGTGGGAATTACGGTCCAGAGGGAGCGAATCAAAGGCTCCCACAAACAAAAGTAAAGCCACCCTGTGGCTGGCTGAGGGCCAGCGAAGAGGTACTTGGTGACTTGCCTCTTCAGGGAGACCAAGGCACAGGCTCAAAGGAAGGCTAGTGCAGCTAGAGTGCAGGAAGCGAGGGAGAGGGGGATGCAAGATGATTTGGGAGGGCACTGCAGGGCCCGGACCACACACAGGACTGATTCAGGCCTCTGCAACATACGACGCCACTGAGGCATTTGAGCAGTGGATGCTCATGGTCCAACGCGCGTATTATGCAGTTCACCTTGGCAGTTTCAGGAAAAGGAGCTGTAAGAGGGCAGAATGGAGGAAGGGAGGCCAGGAGAGGAACCCAGGCCAGAGAGGACAGTGACGCGGCACGGGGGACAGGGACAGTGGGCAGGTGAACAGGTGTCATAACAGCCTCCTGAAAATAAACTACAGACTCCCACAACAACACGAAATCTCAACATCATGATGAGGAGGGAAAGAAGCCGGGCATAAAAGGGTGCACACTGATTCCATGCATATGGCATTCTAGAAAATGTCGGCAAAGCTCTAAGGACAAAAAGGTAGGCGGTGGTCTTCTGAGGTCAGAGGTGGGGGGGGAGGGACAGCAAAGGGGGGCAAGGAATGTTTAGAAGTTAACGGAAATGTTCTATAATGAGATGGTGCTGGTAGTTTCAAGGTAATACATCTGTTGAAACTCACTGAATTAGACTGTGAATGGCCGCAGTTCACTGGATGTAAAGTACTCCTCAATCAAATTGATTTTTTATATTTTATATATATCTATATAAAGGAAATGTGATATATCCATATAATGGAATGTTTATTCAGCCTTAAAACAGAAGGAAATTGTTAGAAGCTGAAACAGGGATGAAGCTCAAGAACAAAGGTGAGATAAGCCAGTCACAAAAGGACAAATACTATAGGATTCCACTCATATGAAATATCTAAAGTAGTCAAAATCAAAGACACAGAAAGCAGAAAGATGGGTTGCCAAGGGTTAGGGGGAAGAGTGATGAGGATTTTGTGCTCAGTGGGTATATTCAGTTTTGCAAGATGAGTAAGTTCTAAAGCTCTACTGCACAATGGGAATACACTTAACACTGTTGAACTGTATACTTAAAAATGGCTATGATGATACATTTAGTGTTGTGTTTTTTTCTTAACACACACACACACACACACACTCCTGGACAGAAGAAAAAGGCCATTACAGAAATTCAGACCCTAAAGAGCAGTCCAGCACTGGCTGGGGCAAAGTCCCCATAAATCCTGTAGCTGAGCCAGCCCTGGACACCCTGCCCTCCTCTGCCACCTGGCCTGGCCAGGCGAACACCAGCCTTCCTCCCATATGCCCACGTCCATATCTAGCACCCCATCCTCCCTGACAACTGGCAAGGATACTTTGCTGTATTGTCTCTATCTCCTCCCAGACCCCAGGGGCCTCCTCCACCTCTCAGCTCCACCCCTGCCCTAATCTCTCCACAGCTGCCCAGTACGGCACCCTCCCCCACGCCCTGGGCACCACCAGTCTCTCAGCCCCGGGCTGCCCCCAAATCTCTTATCCAACCTACACACAGCAGATTAGCTCCACGGAAGCCCACCTATGTTCAGGTCAGTCCTCTGCTTTAAAAACCTTCAATGGCTCTACCTTGCCAGCTGAACAAGCCTATACTACCGAGCCTAACATTCTAGGCCTTCCAGGATTTGGCCCAATCTTTTTGTCTGTATCAACCACAGGGCCCCTCTACTTGCTTTTCCCCACCTACAACTTATTCTATTCTATTCTATTCTACTCTATTCTATTCACCTGTTTCCTATTCTAATATACCCACCGTTCTGTACTCTTCCCTGACTTGATTTCCAAATCCTTATCCATGAAATTTTCCCTAATCTCTGCAGGCAACAGTAACAGGAAAGGAAATACCTAAAGGTATTTCAACAATGACCCAGGGCCTCCAGTCCCTAGCACAAGGAAGGAGAGATGCGATGGTGAGCACACACTGACATGGCTCCTGCCAACACCAGGGATCACCACAGCATGTCCATAGGCCCGTGCAGTCTTCTCTCTCCACCCCAAGCACAGAGTGGTTCTGTGGTGGGGACCCCAGCTTGTTTGTTCTTCTAGGCCCACAAGAGCTGCATATAGTGTTCCTGGTCCACAGTGGGATGAACAGAAAAGCTGGCTTAGCACTCATGATTTTAAGTTTTACAACTCAGGGGGTGCCTGGGTGGCTCAGTCGGTTAAGCATCTGCCTTTGGCTCAGGTCATGATCCTAGAGGCCTGGAATGGAGCCCCTGAATCGAGGCCCATGTCATACTCCCTGCTCAGCGGGGAGTCTGCTTCTCCCTCTGCCCCTCACCCTGCTCATGCGCACTTTCTCTCAAATAAATAAAATCTTTTTTTTTTTTTAAAGATTTTATTTATTTATTTGACAGAAAGAGAGACAGCGAGAGAGGGAACACAAGCAGGGGGAGTGGGAGAGGGAGAAGCAGGCTTCCCGCTGAGCAGGGAGCCCAATGTGGGGCTCGATCCCAGGACCCTGGGATCATGACCTGAGCCGAAGGCAGATGCTTAACGACTGAGCCACCCAGGCACCCTCAAATAAATAAAATCTTTAAAAAAAAAAGTTTTACAACTCATACACTAAGAAAAAAAAAAAAAAAGACCTAAATTAAACATCTCCAGGAAAAAAAGAAGTAAAATAAAAAGATAAGTCCAGCAGGAGTCTAGGATAGAACAAACAATTTAGAAAAAGGTCTGGCAGTTTCTATAAAACTAAGCATACACCTACCCCATGACCAGACATTAAGTGTATCTTCCCTAGAGAAATGACAACATAATCCTCAAAAAAGATTTATGCAAGGATCCTCTCAGCAGCTCTAACCGCAATAGCCAAAAACTGAAACGAGCCCAAATGCCCATTAAGAAGTGAAACATTATTGTGGTATACCCATATAATGGAATGCTATTCGGCAATAAAAATGAACAGATTGCTGAATCAAGCAGTTATTTTGTTAAGCAAAAGAAGTGAGATAGGAAAGAGTACAGCTGTATTTCATTTACAGGACATTCAAGAACAGACAAAACAAATCAAACCCAGAGGCATTACATCAGCAATTGCCTGGAGCCAGGGAAGATGAACCACAAAGGGAACTTTCTGGGATAATCAAGGTGGTGCTTTCAACTGCTCACTTTAAAAAGGTGCATTTGATTGTACATAAATTATACTTCCGTGAAGTTGATTAAACAATAAAAAGAAAATTCAGAGCTTGATGTCTCAAGACACAAAAAATTATAATAAAGAGGGAGGGCACTGGGGTGGCTCAGATGGTTAAGCGACTGACTTTTGATTTCAGCTTAGGTCATGATCTCATGGTTGTGAGATGGAGCCCCGACTTGGGCCCCACCTTAGACATGAAGCCTGCTTGGGATTCTCTCTCTCCCTCTTCCTCTGCCCCTCCTCCCCCCAATAAGTGGCTGCGCATGTTCTCGCTCTAAATAAAATAATAGTAATAATAATAATAAAGAGGAGGTTGCACATTAGGCTAATCACCCTAGCAGTAAATGACAAGAAGCACAATTAGTGCTCATGATGCAGAACACGCCAGCTTCCAAGAGACACATACTCCCGAGAGTCCTCAATGTGGAGCGTCCCCGAGAATGCTCTAACAGGCACTGGGGAGAACCAGAGGACCCTCCACCTCTTTCACCAGCTCCTCCTCTTCATCGCACCCATCATGGCATCAGGCACATACACCCCAGGCTCAGTTCTCTGACCAGCCCCCAGCTGCCATCAGCGTCCCTCCCCCAAAATGTCTGTGTCACTCACCTCCTCGTGGGTCCATTTGACCTTGCACTTGTTGTCCCTCTGCTCTGGTACATCTGAATCTGTGTCCTGGTAGTGCAGCTCATCCAGCTCCTCACTGTAGGGAGAGCAAGCTAAGGGTCAAGGACATGTGTCTTCACACAATGCTACGTGATAGATGGACAGCGTGTGGGCAATGGCCAGTGACCTCTAGGGAAAGGCTTGAGGGAGGCAGCCTTTTACTCTTTACTTTTGGTATGTCCACCCTCCTCTTTTTTTAATTCTTTAATGAACTGGGCTTATGGACAACTTTTATTTTCTTTATCCTTTTATTTTCACAAATACCCTAAATGATTTCAAAAACTACAAGAAAAAAGAAGTTAAGATTTCACCAAGAAGGGACACTGGGTGGCTCAGTCCATTAAGCGTGTGCCTTTGGCTCAGGTCATGATCCCAAGATCCTGGGATTGAGCCCCAAATTGGGCTCCTTGCTCAATAGGGAGGCTGCTTCTTCCTCTGCCTGCCACTCCCCCTGCTTGTGTTCACTGTCTCTAACAAATACGTAAAATCTTAAAAAAAAAAAAAAAAAAGAATATTATGATATTCAAAACCAGACACCTGTTTAGTATTTTCTTTTATATAGCAGAACTTTCTAAATTTTATGGTTATTTTAAGGATTAAATCTGATGATAAATGCAATCATCAAGGACATATTTCAAGAAATACTGGTTATCTGAGAATAACACTTTAAATACATAACCTCAGTAAGTCCATTTTCCAATCCTTGCCTTCATACAGTCATGGTTTATGGAGAGAAAAATCAAGACTTCTGGATGTTATCTAACAGGCAATTTTTCAAGTTGCTCCAAAATCTTCTTATCTATCAGGTTTAATGATTACAAAAATGGAAATCACACTCTCCACCTCCAGGAATGTCAGGTGCTGGGGGGAGGGAGGGGAAGGTTAGTAAGCTCCCAACACCATGTAGTGGGAATGCCGCAGGTCACCTGTCAGGTACATTCCTAAGTCAGGCGTCTGTGAGTGGGAAAAGCCATCTCCAAACAAGCAAGGCAAGCACAAGCCTTGTTCCAAAAGGACAAGGACTTCCTTTCATGTCCATCTTCCTTTCCCCTTCTCCAGGGCTCAGCATCTTCCTAGAGTCACTTCTGAGCCCCCCACATCTCCGTCTCTCAGAATGAAGGCCCTCAGGCTGCAACTGCCAGTCTCCAGACAGGGACAGAGATCAGCTCCACCTCCACACCCGCAGGGCCTTTGGGGGTTGCCACCAAAAGGCCTTAAGAATCGTTTGCTCAGGGCGCCTGGGTGGCTCAGTTGGTTAAGCGACTGCCTTCTGCTCAGGTCATGATCCTGGAGTTCCGGGATCGAGTCCCGCATCGGGCTCCCTGCTCGGCGGGGAGTCTGCTTCTCCCTCTGACCCTCCTCCCTCTCATGCTCTCTGTCTCTCATTCTCTCTCTCGCAAATAAATAAATAAAATCTTTAAAAAAAAAAAAAAGAAATGTTTGCTCAGGGAATGATCGGATACTCAAATTAATGAATAAACATGCAGTGCTGCTGCCTATTGGTTGATAAGAAATGCTAATTAAAGTAAATCTTTTAGAAGTAGAAAAGGAAGGGAGGACAGTGTCTAAACCCAGCAATATATCCGCAACAGAAGGAGCCGGAATTCAGCCTTGTCCCGTCATCTCTGACCCCATTCACGGGTCCTCCACCATCACAAAGTAGGAGGCAAAAACTCTACAAGATACAGAATGAAGCTGGCTTTAAAATCAACTGTCCCCAGACTTCTTTCTGACAGAAACCATCTTTGGTTCGCTAACACCCAGCTCCAATAGAAGCTCAGTAAATGTGCCTCTAAGGATAAAACAGTGTCTTTGTGAACACTCTCTCGTGCTCCAATACTTTAACGGGGACAAGCAACTCAGCTGGGAGATACCCAGTATACAAAATATACTTCTATCATCAACATGGAGCTAACCATCTACTTCACACGCATTCCCATTAACCACGTTTAATAGACGTGGACACTGAGGCGGACAGGGGCTATGCCACTTACCAAGTCCACAAAGCCAGGCTCCAGACCTGCACCTTCAAGCCCTCACCCTGTAATCCCCGCTGAAAAAGCAGAGGCCAAGTCGGTGGTGGCAACCACATGTAGGTCCAACACACCCTTTCTATGCCTTTCGATGTTCTGGGCTCTGCTCCAGGATGGGTGAGTCAGAAGCTGAGCGGGAAGTGGGGCACTGGTGCAGATGAGAGTTAAAACGAGTGGCCAACCACTGAGCTGAGGGCTGTGGGGTGCCAGTGCACAGAAACCATCCCTCACATGGGAGGGGATTCCTCCACAGAGCCCCAGGAGCAAAGAGGCAGAGGACCTGGGGGTTTTCTGGGGCTTGTCATTCCCTGGAATAACATTTCCTGCACCAAAAATGAGAACAGGGTCCATTAAGTGCCTGACCAGAAAACTCCTTCTGGGAACTGGAGCTGCCCTGGGAAATGGTGACCTGAGGAGGAAGACAGAACCTGTTCCAGGTACCCTAAACAGGGCCCAAGGACCAGAGGCTTCCTTGCTGAGAGCAACTCTGGGAAAAGCCAGCCGTGAGTGCTTCTGGAGTCTATACCCTCTTCCTGAGAAGGGGGGACACCAAGGGAAGGGGGGTTAAGGTTATCTAGGCTGCACAAATCCAGGGAGGGAACAGGGCAGGCAGGCCCCCTTTGTCCTCTGATGTAAAACCCAGAGGTCAGGCCCCAGGCACAGAAGTGTAAGACAGGGAGCTGGAACCCACAGACCAGGTTCCAGGCTCCACTCTGCCCCTTACTCTCTGGAAGAATAAGTAAAATGGAGACTGCAGTTCCTGCCTTGGCCCCAGAGCAGTCTTGATACGCATCTGTCTCTCTTCCCCTCACCTTCAACCCCAACTGCCCCAAATTCCTCATGTGGAACAGGAAGACATGTCTCTGAAACTAAACCAAGCTGGGGCCCGACACCCAGGTTGAGGGTGGGGGGGGACACAAAAACGAGTCCCCTCCCCCCCGGCACCCTTCTCAAGCCGGAGAGGGTTTGGGGAGCGCTGTACTTCCCGGAATGTTTGGGAAGAAATGCCCACCGCCAAATATGAACCCAAATAGGTTTGAACTAGAAGTCCTTCAGGCTTTGGCTTCCCTCTCGCTGCGACTTGGAGGGAGAATCACTTTCCCTCTCCAGGGGTCGCCTCCCTCCCCGGTAAAGGCCCTAGCAGCTGACACTGCCATCCCACCCCCACCCCGCAATTAGGCGGGAGACAAAATGACATCATGCAGGGCTTGGCCCAGGTCCCAGGAGACCCGCCCGCCCCGGCTCCGAGGCCCAGCAGGCCTGGGGAGCGGAGCGAGGGGCCCCCAAGAGCCCCCCGGCTTCGCGCGCGCCCCCTGCCTCGGGCGACCCGGGACACAGCAGTTCCCGCGGAAGGCCCGCCCTGCCCGGAGGGGCCACGGCGAGGGTAGGGGTGGGGTGGGGCAGGGGTCGGAGTGGAGGGGGGTGGGGGGAAAGCCCTGGGCCGCCCGGCTCCGCTCACCCGCGCGTCCGCCGAGACATCCCCCCGGCCCGGGCCGCGCCGCGCTCGCCCGCCCGCCGGCTGAGCCCGGAGCGGGAGCCGGGCCGGGGTCAGGGTGAGGCTGCTCGGGCCGCTCCGGGCCCCGGGGCCGCGCCGGGAGACGTCAGCGTATCCGCAGGTCCCGCCGCTGCTCGCAGGAACTCCGGCCGCCGCCGGCGCGCACAGCAGCACTTTTCTATCTCCCGCCAAGCGCGACGGCGCCGCCCGGGCCCGGCGCGCGGGCGGGAGGGCGTGCGCGGGGCGGGGCCTGCGGGTTGCGCGGGGGCGGGGCCAGCCCCGGCGGGGCGGGTTCGGAGGCGGAGCCTGCGGACAGGCGGGCGCCCCACTCGCCCAGAGTCCTGAAGCTCCGGTAGGGCTGGTAGGGCCGACGGTGAGCGTGGCGGTTTTGGAGACTTGCGGGATTGAGCCGGCCGCCATTTGACTGAGGCCGGACCCAGACCAAGTGTGGGTTCGGGGCGGCCCAGGAGTTGCCCACCCAGCAAAGACAGAGGAAAGGGAGTGAGTGAGACACAGGGATGGGAGACTCAGGTCGGGGAAACCGCCTGTGCAAAACCCGCACGCTACTCCAAGCCGTTCCTCTGTCCCTACAGCCCCCACCCTAAACCAGCCCCTCACCCTAAGGACCGGGGCTGTGCCTTCGAACTGTCTCCCTGCTTCCTCTGCAGCCTCGAATTCGATGGCTCTCGCTCCTGGGCTCAACTCCCGGCAGCCCGAGTGAACGTCCTAAAATACAAACGCGATCTTTCCTCTCCAGAACATAAAACCTCTCTCCTCTCCCTCGGGGTAAAATACTCCATAATCAGGTTTCCAGGATTCTACCAGATCCACCACCACCACCCCGCCCGTAGCCGAACGAAACCTGCTAGTTTCCTTGCCTTTGCGTGGGCCACTACCTGTCCAGGAACGCTTCACGCCCCTCCCACCGAATTCCAATCTATCCCTGGGCTTCCCTACCCATGATCTGCTCTTTGACTAGTCGTTTTCCTCTCTTAACTATGGGCACGCTGAGGTCCAAGTGGCCCCTCAATTCGCCGCAGTGTCCCCAAGACCCAGAATTGTCCACGTGTTTAAACTCCTAGAGGCTTAGTAAGGATTTTCCATTTTAAGTTGCCATTTACCAAGTACCCCCCAAGAGTCATGTCACATTGGGCTCCCTGGGAGGAGTGCTGAGAATAAGGTAAATGAACTGTAAGACGGGTGCCTGGGGAAATCTGGTTGAACCCCAGCCTCTTAGGCCCTGCTTATGTTTCAGATTCCTCTTCCTGAAATCTGAGGAAGAGGCCACCTTCCTGACCCCCTGGGGACTGCCTAGCCAGCTGCTGCAAACTTCATTTACCATAGCAGAAGGAACACTGACGTCTTAAGTGCCAGAAGCTTCCACATCAATTAATTCAGGTCTTCCCCCACCCACTTCCTTCATAAAGTAATTCATGTGGACATCCCCTCTTCATTACTAGAGCATGATATTTAAGAGTGCAGACTCTGAAGCCAGACTTCCTGGGGTTATGATTTACTAGTTGTGTGATCTTAGGTAAATTACTTAACTCCTCTATGCCTGTTTTCTCGTATGTAAAAATTAGATTTATCAAAAACTTAGCTTTTATTATGTGCCAGCCACTATTCTGTAGGCTTTATAAATCATTTTTTAGGGAAGCCTGGGTGGGTGTCTGCCTTCGGCTTGGGTCATGATCCCAGGGTCCTGGGATTGAATCCCACATTCGGCTCCCTGCTCAGTGGGGAGCCTACTTCTCCCTCTGCCTGTGCTCCCTCTGCCTACCCTGCTTGTGCACGCTCTCTGACAAATAAAATTTTTAAAAAATCATTTTAATTCATTTAACCCTCATAACAACACTATGAGGAGGTAGTGTTAGTATGATCCTCTTTTGGCAGATGGAGAAACTAAAACACAGCTCCCTCTCTCCCCCTCACCCATACTGAATGGCAAAGCAGATTCAAACCTGGGCCTGGGCTGTCTAGTTCCAGAGTCTGTACTTTTTTTTTTTTTTTTAAGATTTTATTTATTTGAGAGAGAGTGCAAGCATGAGTGGGGGAGAGTGGCAGAGGGAAAGAGAGAAGCAGACTTCCCACTGAGCAGGGTGCCTGTTATGGGGCTCGATCCCAGGATCTGAGATCATGACCTGAGCCGAAGGCAGACACTTAAACGACTGAGCCACCCAGGCGTCCCTAGAATGCTCTTAATCACTACACTGGTACCTACTTTGTAGGGTGGTTATAGGATTAAATAAATCAATATGTATAAACCACTGAGAATAATCCCTGGCCCATAGTAAGTACTATTTTACTTTTAGTTGTCGTTGTTATGATGATGATGATAATAAAGGTAGTTGGAAGAAAGGCAGGGACAAGGGGTCCCTGTCATAAGAGTAAACTACCCTTAAAGTGAAAACGACCCCATCCTGTTATTCCAGACTTTACCCAGTGCCCCAGCTTTAAGTTGTCCTACTGGGAAGACTTAAAAACTTGTATGTGACAGAAAGGAAGGGAATGGCCTTGGGTATCTTAACCCAGGCCCAGGGGCCAGCTCAACAGCCAGTGGGATATTTAAACTACGAGCTTGATCCGGTGGTGGCCTGCACCAGCATGGCATGCCTTAGGGCAGTGGCGGCTACCGCCTTCTTGATCCCTGAGGCTATGAAACACCACCCTGAAAGGAGCCCTCAACCCTTTTCCACCTGAACAACTACTGGATAGGTAGATGAGTTGTATGAATAAAAACTCTCCAAAAGCTCATCAGCTAATAGGGTAAATGAGCAAACAATTAGATCTATTAGGGTAAAGATAAACTGTAGGTGCTGTGGGTGCCCCCCCAAAAGGGTCACTGAAGGCTCTTTAGGCCTTGGTGATTTAGGAATTTGCAAGGTAGCCAATGTGGGGAATAGTACTTCAGGCAGAGGGAACAGCCAGTGCATGCCAGGGAGAAGAAATATTAGTAAGTCCTCAGGGATTGGCAGTCATTTTTTACTCTTTTCTCACATCACTTACCTGATCCACCTGCAAATCATATTGGCTCTACCCTCAACCTCTACCTTCAAAATATATCCAGGGGCAAGAGCACATAAAAAGATGCTCAATACCATATCATCAGGGAAATGCAAATTAAAACCATCCAGTCATATGGAGCCGAGAAAAATGAGTGCATATGTCCACACAGAGATTTTTACATAGCTTTATTTGTAATAGTCCCAAACTGGAAACAACCCAAATGTCCACCAACAGATGACTGGATAAACAAATAATAGATATAAAATAAATATATCCATACGGTGGAATACTACTCAATAAAAAGGAATTATAATACAATATGAATCTCAAAATAATTTTTCTGAAAAAAGCCAGAGTGGATACTGTATGATATCATTTACATACAACTGTAGAAATTGCATAACAGAACCAATTAAAGTGAAAATGGTTACAGAAAAGGGATTTCAAAGGGACACAAGGAATTTTGGATGTGTTCTATTTGTAAGATTCTAGGGGTCCCTCTTCGATCACTGGGAGAGGTGTGGGGAATCAACTCTGCCTGGGTTTGTCCACATCATGCCAACCCCTGCTGTGTCCTCATTTATGCACCTGCATAGGATAAGAATTTGATCTTAGAAACCACCGAATCCAAACTTCTTGCGTTCCTGTAAGGGGGAGGAGACTCCGAGACGAGCGCCAGGGCCCTGGGCTGCTTTATACACACACCATGTCCAGCCCACACCCCTGACCTCTACCCTGGGCTTTCTGGGCATCAGCTTTTGCAAACTTAGCTTTCTTTTTCAATGTGGCCACTTGTCCAGGAACCAAGCAGAGAAGGACTCGCAGGTTACGGAGTTCCGGCACAAAGTCGGGGATGGAACCGCCGAGGGACGCCAAAGCCTTGTCCAGCGGTGGTGGAAACCACCGCCACAGCCTGGCCAGGCCCCGCGGCCGCAGATGACACACGGCGGCATCACCGCCCTCTTCTGTGAAGATGGAGGGAAAATCAGGCTCTGGAGTCCATCTGGCAGTCTGCCACCGCCGCTGCGATTCCGGACGAGCGACGCGACCTGTTTCCAGGAGCCCTCCTCGTAAACGGGGCCGCACCAAAGCCCAGGCCCTCTGACTGCCGGGCGCGCGCTCCGTTTCGGGCGCGGCGCGGCGCGGAGCATCGCGGGAGTCGCGCCGCCTGACGTCACCAGGGGGCGCCAGACGGGCCGCCGGGCTGTGGAGCTAAGGCAGCCTTGCCCCGCGCTACTCCTCGGGCGCAGTCACGCTAGCCCCGCACCCTCGGAGCTGTCGTCGTTGGGAGGCTTCCCCAGACGCCTGCTCTTTCGGGTCGTGCGAGGACGGGTGAAAGAAAGGACCAGGGGTTGAGAGCGGGGCAGATAGGTGGTCGACCTCCGACATCATGGCGGACGGGGGTAGGCGTCCCCAGTCGCCCCGGCCCAGAGCCCTGTTGACCCGCTCTGCCTCCACCTGGCCCTGACTCCCCGAGTAGTTCGGCAGCGCTGGACAGGCTCCTGACGCTCCAAGTTTCCTTCGTGCAACCTGTAACCATTTGCGACTCTACGAAGTTAATTTCTCTCCCAGGTAGATTGTGAGCTGTAGGAGTAGAGCGCTAGGATAAAACGATGGTGGGCTTCACGGTAAAATTTGGTATAAGCAAGATATATTATTATTTTCAATGTAAATATTTCTTCCTGTCTCTTGAAGTCAGCGGAAGAAACTGATAACACTGGTTGCAGAAAGGGGAACTGAATTTACCCACTTCAGTGGCTGAAGAGGGTAAAATTCTTTTCAATATCTGTCAATTCCGTGCTTGGTATCACCTAATTTTAAAAAATTTCATTAGAGCATATTTGTAGCGCTCTCGAACATTTTAGGGAACAGAGTTTGAATAAAACCCCTCATACTTGGCTTTATAAACAAGAAGTTACCTAGCAAAAGCCACACCGTAGATCTATGAGTCATAAGAACCACAAATTTTCCTTCTTGGTCTTGGGGAGAGAGACCTTTGTCCCCAACACTTTAGCTCCCCTTTCTCATTATTCCTCTTCGTTTTGACACTCAAGTTTCTCTCATCAGAGACGTATTTGAATTCAACACATAAAATCTCCAATATTTTTATGCTGTTACCTGCTAGGACTGCTACCATCATCTTTGTGTGTGTGTGTGTGTGTGTGTGTGTTTTAAGAGTGAAGTTAAAACATTTGTTCAA